CACTGTCAGCTCTCTGCAGATGGGACACTTGTGCTAGTGTTTTTTAATGTAACCATCTTCATGATGGTCCTGATGCGGAGGGGTGGTTTGGCAGGCCATACAGGTAGCCCTGGTCTCTGAACTTGGTCAGTGCAGAGCAGCCTGTAGTGGTGTGGGCTGAACAAGCCCAAGAATGAGGGAAGTATAAAGATGTTTTAAAGCCACCTTTGCTCCCCACCCCTGCCTGGGTAAGAGGATCAGACCTGTTACTAGAAGTCTGAGACCGCTCTGACATGGTTAATGAAAATGGCTTTTATCAGACTCTTTGGACTTCATACAAGGAGGTCAGTCTTCACTAGTGGCTTAGGCACAGCGGGGCAACACTAATCAGGGGCATGAGAGACCCCCCCGCCAGATGCCAGGACACTGCTGTTTTGGACGGGGCGTAATGCAACTGTTGTAGCGGCTGCCGAGTCGGAATCTCTCCAGACCGGGGTCTCTTGACTATTGAACAATGCTCTGGCAAGAGGAGCTGGGTTTATAAATAATGCATTTCCTTTGTCTTGCAGGAATTCTGGAGGCAGAGGTACAATCAGATCAGCTGTGAACAGCTTACATAGCAAATCTAATAGGTTTGTAAATTAGATTTTGTGTTCATTTGTTTTTGCTGTAAGGCAGCTATTAATCTGCTTCTCTTCTTTGCTGGCTAGTGCCCTTATTTAGCAAATGTATCTGTTTCTTTTCACTTCTGATTTGCATTTTTTTAATCGTTTCCCCTTCTATCTCGATGCAATAATCATTTGCAAATAACCATGGATCTGCAAGTTGTGGTGATTAAGAGAATGAGAAGAACAGTTACTTATTGTGAAAGATAAGTCCACTGAGTTGCCACTTTTGCAGTTTGCCACTGTGGTGTTTAAAAAGAAAAAGATGTCTTTCTGTGAGTTCAGACTCTCGTCGTCTTTCATCATAATGTCATTCATCATGTCGTTCTGTGGCCTCGCTGTCTCATTCGATGACATTGTGACATTTCCAAGCACATTCCAGGCAATCATAACCACACCATCGTATACACACAATTGCACAGTTGTACTTAGTGACATCATTTGGTGATGCCATGACATCAGTCTGTGATGATGCCGGAACACATAAGCAAAATAAAAAAGCATAAAGTGCACAAGAAAAGCCACAGTTATTACCAGTCAGGATTTCTTTAACCAGTTACATTTGTGGGTTTTTTTTTACATCTTGAGTATTTGTCTCACAGGACATCAGATTATGTGGCCAGGTGAGAGGTTTCTGTCAGGCTTTGTTGGCATTCTCTGGAGCTGCTGCTTGGATGCTTGCATTTACACACATCAAGACAATAGCGAATGGGATTTAGAAATACAATCAGCTTCCTTCGCTAAATATTAAGTAGACAGCACCCAAAATATCCTCAGCTGTGCCTGGGACTTCCATCAGTCTTCCTATATGGAAAGCAAGCCAGCCTCTCACACCAGCAGTTGCCTGTCAACAGGACAGGTACAGAGCCATGCCATCCCTGGAGGGACAGGATCGCGCTGTGAGATCTGTGTGCATGCCCAAGGTGTTCTGCCACAGAAACACCAGCTGCCACATCTGTCTGTCAGGACAGCTTTGCTTGGTTTAATCTTAAGTATCCCTTTCTAATTGCACCCTCTGTCTCCTAGTTATGTCCCCTAAGTAGCTGTTCTCCCTGCTGGATGTTCACATGCTCTGGATAGACCAAGTTATTTGCAAACTGTCTTCCAGCCCAAATTGGCTTTTTGCACTTAGGAGGGACATTCCCCTTAACTGGTAGCAAATACTCTGGCTGTGAATTTTTCAGAGCTCTCTGAAGTGTGAAGGCTTTTTTTTTTTGGCCTGCATGCACATGCCCTGCTTCTTGATGAGACACTCGCTTATTCTCTTTGGAGGGAGGCTTGTTGTAATACAATATTCAGAAGCTCTCATAATGTATGCCATTTGATGTAAATGGCACTGAAATGCTAGGACCTTTGTTTGCTTCCAGGGTTTCCCAATGAGCATCATCAGAGCTGCAATACCAGGACACTGGACTGCTCCTTGATACTCCTGGATCAGTCATTTCCTTGTCTGGGGCAGTAACAGGCAGTGGATGCAATGAAATCCCTGTGTTCTCTGCAGCAAGAAACACATATTATCAAAGTGCTCGCCCCCTGCTTTTCATAACAGGGCTTTTATAAGTGGTACCAAATCCTGCTTGCAGTGTCCAGGATCTCAGCTAAATTCATTTCTTGCTTTGGAGTGAAGTAAAGGTCACGGGTTTCTGATGAGGCTTTAACCCACTCGGGGAGTTTGACAGGTGGATTTGGGTTGTCATTTGGGAGGCTGTTATGCCTCTGCATGCGTAGCTGGTTGTGTCTGCGCATGCTGTCTGCAGGCAGAATCCCTGAGCCAGTCTGTGTGAGCTCCTAGGAGAATCTGCTCATTTGGTTTGTGAGCACCTGCATGTGTGCAAATCTGTGTACTTGTGTACACGGATGAGTGTCTGTGTCTGTGCTTTGTATACTTGTGTATAAATGTATGTCTGGGAGAGAGGGCAAAGAAATAAAGGCATCAACTTTCCTCCCCTGGTTAGGCAATAACGACAGTTTTGCTTTTCTAAAGAAGTTTGAATCCCAGCCGCCACAGCAGAAGCCAAGTGATTAGAGATGCCATCGGGATGCTAACTGATCATGTCTCTCCCTCTCTCTGTCTTTCTTCTCTAGAGCTGAAGTAGTAATAAATGGTTCTTCGTCTCCAGCTGTTGTTGACAGAAGTAATGAAAGCATTAAGCACAACATTAAACCAGCCTCATCCAAATGGAGACACAACCAGACACTCTCTTTGAAGATCAGGTACTGGTAATTACCTATAGGACAAGAGACAGATTTGGTCCTCTCCAGTGCAAGCTGGCAAATTGCCTCTGTATATCATCTAAAGAAGTCAAGAAAGAAATAAAATGTTTATCTCCTGCTGAGCTAGACTTCATATCTGTAAGCAATCACTTGGAAATGAATTCCCAGCTCAACCAGCTGGCCTCACACTAACAAAGTGAGACACGCTTGAGCTTCCATTTTTCCATGCCATGCAGGGACCGGGGCATGCTGTGGATCTGTGATGTCGAGTCACACACAAAAGATGGGAAATGTCTTGCCTTATGCTGTGACCTTTACTGGCTGAGAGTAGAGCAGCGATGAGGGGTTTACTGAGGGCTGTCTCCAGAGGGTGGGCAGGCAGGGGGAAGATGCGTACAATCAGATGGGGAGGCCTTGAACAGCGTGCACTGCAATTGCTTTCATTTTCACGCAGGGGGTTTCAGCTTTCAGCCATTTGAGCATCTCCTGAAGGTCATCACTCAGCAGTGAGCATGGCCCATCAGCAGCTAGGTTGTGGAGCTTGGACAGGCAGGGGGTGTTTAGCTGTCATAGGTCACGTAATGAGCCATCCCTACCGCTGACATGAGCTGTCTGTTTTCTTTCCTTTCTCCAGGAAGCACATCTTGAAGTTCCTCGATGCAGAGAAGGACATCTCGGTGCTGAAGGGGACCCTGAAGCCTGGGGATGTGATTCACTATGTCTTTGACAGAGACAGCACCATGAATGTCTCCCAGAACCTCTACGAGCTGCTGCCACGGACTTCTCCCCTGAAGGGCAAGCACTTCCGGACCTGTGCCATCGTGGGCAACTCGGGGATCCTGCTAAACAGCGGCTGTGGGAGGGAGATTGATGCACACAGCTTTGTAATAAGGTAGGCCTGATTTCCTGGGTCAAACTGTAAGTCAGTCTAGCCCCAAATCCTGTCTTATGCAGGGACAGAGCGTGGGATGCTGAGAGGGAACATGAACAGGTGGGGTCCAAAATCTTCCACCCCATGCTTCTCTCCTATTCCAGCTTCCACATTGCATTCTCCAACTGCAGTTTGCACACACACATGTGCACACGCACACACACACACACATGCTTCATCCATACAAGCATCCCTCTTATCCCAAGCTCCCACCCATTATAATCCTCACACATACCCACGCTTCTACAGTCACACACAGCAACTTCTCACGCCCACATTGTTCACATCCTACCATACACTTGTATCCCCAGCCCCTGCAGATGAACCCAGTACACACACACACACCACCCACAGCCCAATGCACTCTTTACTTCATACACTCCTACAACTCTGCATCCTTTTCACACCCTACCACTCACTTTCTCAAGCACACTACACCACTTCACAACTTGACAAGGAAGTATAGAAATACCCCAGTGGCACACGCACCACCCACTGCATGCATATAAAGACTCTCCTGTACACACGCACGGAAACGTACATAGTTTGTATACAACCTCTTTTCCCTGCTGGTGCCTATATGCAAGGCATGGGTGAACCGGGTGGCCGCCTTGGGCCCGGACAGAAAGGGGGCCCGAAAATGGTAATTTTTTTCCATTGTCCAATTATTATTATCATTATCTCTGGTGAAGCGGGGCCTGATACTAAAAGTTCGCCTGGGACCTCCAGGAGTCTAGGTACGGTGCTGCCGTTACACCCCCACAACACCCTAATCTAATCCTGTCATATGTACACCTGCATCACACCCAAATACACACTCTTCTACCCCTACAGTCACATGTACACAAGTATCCACACACACACTCTGTCCTTACACAAACACACTTCCCCCCGCACACTTTCTTCACACAAGTGCAATAATTGCCAGCAGCATGCTTTAGGGAGCCAGCAGAAAAAAGGAAGATGCCCACTGTTTGATCCTTACGGCCCATACAGTTGTAGTGGCTGAGGAGCTGTGACAAGTCTGCGGATGATTTGTGCCTGTGCCGATGTTTGCTTTCTGGCCAGTCTATTACTGAGACAGCCCAATCTGTCAGTGGCTTACAAAGCGATTCTACGTGTGACATGGGAATGAAGATAACACCACCTCTGCCCTCTGGACAACACATCCAATCCAGCCTTCCTGACTGTCAGACGGGGATCGAGTTTGGAGGGAACATTCCCTGGGTAGCTCGCTCCGTGGCTTGAAACGGAGCAAAGCCTATTCAGAGCACAAAGACTGGCACGGTCACAGCAAGGGTTGGGGCCACTGAAGAGATCCCAAGTCCACATTTACATTAGAAACATGTGCAAAGACAGCAGTGTTGGGTCAGGGAACAGCTTTTTGCAGCGTTTCTCCATTGTTTCAGAGGTCTAATGTAGATGCAGTTACACTGGGGAAAGCATATAGGCTGTAGCAGCAAGATCACTTTTCTGCCAGTGTAAGGTGTATCTCCACTGGGAGACTGGGCATGGATAACTGTCCCACTAGACTGGTGAGCTGCTTCTAGTGTAGCTAGGCCCTGCTAGGGCTGTTTCTGGGCTCAGAGACTGCCAGGTCTTTGGATTTGAGCTCCTTTATTTGAGTAAGCAGTGTTGTGACTAAAGTAAGGGTCTGGCAGTCAGGACTCCTTGGTGCTGTCTCTTGGAGGAGGGAAGAGTTCTTAAAGAAATCGCATCAGCAGTCTATGCCGCGGTGCCATTCTCCATAAGAGGAGATGGTGAGAGGCCTTGATTCATAGATTCATAGATGATTCATAGATGTTAGGGTCGGAAGGGACCTCAATAGATCATCGAGTCCGACCCCCTGCATAAGAAGGAAAGAGGGCTGGGTCTAGATGATCCCAGCTAGATGCATATCCAATATGATATGATATTGATATGGGAGGCACGGTGAGGATCCAATCCATCAGTGTTCAACAGGTGCAGGAAGACCCTGAAGCTGAAAGGTGCTATCGAAACACAAGCAGTCAGCAGAGCCAAGGCACCCTATGTTTTTCAGTGTGATGCCAGTAGCCTAGCATCCTCCTAATTTCCTGTGGGTATCCATCAGCTGCTCACGCTCCAGTCTGCCAGCACCAGGGTATGAGCTGGGTCAGTAAAATCATCTGTCACTCGGTCAAAACAAATAAATAGGACAACCAAGCGTGACTTGAATGCTGTCTGTGGAAAGAGCCGGAACCAACAGGGAAAGGGTTGGTTCTGTTTCCAGCATGCGGCAAACGTATCTCATCGCTTCAGAACCTCAGTCCCTAGACTCCTGCTGTGATATATAAGCTGGAGTCCTGGACAGAGAGAATGAAAGGCATGTTCAAGGAAGGAGCAAGTGGGAGAATTCCTCAGCGTGCGTCTGTGTGCATCTTCTGACAGGAGACACCAATTAAAATGCAGAGAGAGATGGCTGCAGGCCGCTGTTCCCAAATGGCCCAGCCCTGGGGAGGCCACAAGCATTGATAGTCCTAGCATCCACCTTCTGCTAATATCATTACCGTTGCTGGTGCCACAGGGGCTGCTGTGCAGCAGGGAGTCACCAGGAGAGGAAGGGACTCGATAGCATTACTCTAGCAGGGCTAGAATGAAGGGCTGCGGGTGTCGCAGTTGTCGTTTCTGGCTCTCATCGGATGTTTCTAGCCCTTCCAATTATAGCAGCTCCCTGCACACTACAGCACAGTCAGTTTTCCAGAGTGGTTAGCTGAAGGTATCGCAGAGCAGCAGCTCCACGTGGATGCACTTGTACTTATGCACGGCACGCCGTGTTCTCAATTGGAGTCAGCTCTGGCAGGGGAGTTTGTGCTACAAGACTCCAGCCTTGGTCTACACTGACCTACAGCCACCGCAGCTTTCCTAAGGCTATGTTACTAGCTGTTTGCCACTCCCAGCAGACACTTGTCCTCATGCTAGCTTGCCAGTTTCTTGTGCACTTCCCAGCTCACCTGGAGTGCACAGAGCAGTGAGGGAGGTTAGGGGTGTACTGTCTTCTCCTCCTACCTTTTGATATTCAGAATGTACATCAGACCTTTGCTCTAGTGAGGGTTTCCCTATGCTGGAAGCACTGCTGTAGTTCATACCTGCCATAGTGACAGAGATGTTACCAGGTCCTTTCTGCACAGCGCACATGGGAGATGTATGTCTGTACAAACCCATGCTTGCAACAAAAATACACACCCTGAGGTATTTATGGGCATGCACACAGAGACAAATGTGCCAGCAGATACACACACACACGTGTTAGGACATGCATAAACAGATGTCTATGTATACATTGATCCATTCACCCAGGTATGTGAATGTGCATGCACAGTTTGTGCAGTTGTGTTTGTCCACACACACAAGTGCATATGCATACAGGCTCAGACATGCTTGACTCTGCACGCAGGTACGCTGAACAGCCTCCACGTACATGCATGAACACATGCTTTTTCTTGAATTTCCTGTACCCATAGTGGTCTTTCTATATTAAAGCAGGATCTTTGATGTAAATGCTTTATAACATCTCAGCACTGTGCGCTCTGGGATGGTGATCCTCAGCCCACTAGTGACCATGGAGGTGCTGTGGGGAGGCCAGAGAGGGGGATGATAGATCCTGGATGATAGATCTATTAATAGCTCTTGAACAGAAGGGCTGGCGCTGTTTCCTGTGGCATCTCTAAACCAACAATGGCAGATGTGGGGGGTAATGAATAGAGGATAGATCATGCTAGCTATATCTGGTTCAATGCTCTCCCTCTAAAGCTTCTACCCCTGCCCTGAAATACTGGACTAGACGGACCATTAGTCTGACCCAGTGTGGCACTCACCGTCTGATACGGGGGGAAGGAGGGCAGTTAGCTGACTCCGCAGCATTGTGCTGGGAGTCTGTGCTGCCCTGCACATACCGCTTCCTGAACGAGAAGCGACAGGGCTGCCTTATTGCAGGAGAGCTCTACACTAGCATGCATTACATTAACAACTAAGGGAGAGAGCACACCAGGGCTAGCCCACATAACTGCATGGTGCTGCCGTCCACTGACATAACACTGCACTGAAGCTGCTGCACAGCTATATATGGATTATGTGGATCGGTGTGGGCTGCCGGATCAAAAAGAGTTGAGGACCACGGCTCTAAGGTTTGTACAGACAAAACTATTGCCGCACTGCTGTTGTTAAAAGAGGGGACTGGCCACGATTCAGCAGAATCCACTGTGGTGGCACTGTCTGTTTTCTCCTAATCCACAGGAAGTGAAGCTAAACCCCCATAATGTACCTCCTGTTCCATTCCAGGGGGAGGTTCATTTACTCTGGGGTGGTAGTGGATAGACAAAATAATTACACTGGATCAGCTGGTGCAGGGTCTGAAGCAGTAAGACCCTCCCCCCCACCTTTAAAAATGGTGTAACTGTGTATCTGTCCATGCCTTAGAGGAGCAGGAAGCTGATGGGGTGTACCAAAGCAAGATGCTGAATGTGTACTTCATAAATGAAGTTTTAAGACACACGAACAACAAATGAAAGGTACCCAAGAGCCATTGGATAGGCACGTACAGGTCATTTCCCTACTAGGCTCCAGATAGATCAGTGTCCAGGGGACTGGTAATAGGTGCAGAGCGTCTGTCTTCACAGTATCAGTGGCAGTAGTGGTTGAAAGGCATTTTGGGTAGATCAATCAACAGACATTGTCAATAGGTCAGAGCCTTCTTTACAGCACTGATATGCTGCAGTTGAGAAATGTTCACAACTCCTCATAGCAGCCCTGGGATGGCATCAGAAGGCAGGGGACACTATCCAAGTAACTTGCCCAAGGTCACAGAGTGAGTCAGTGACAGAGCCAGGAATCAAACACCCCATCATACTGCATGGTCCATCCAACCCCTCTGCCTTCCTGTGCTGATTCATAGAAATCTGCAGAGAGGTCAAAAAGTGAACGAGCCCCGGAGGCTGAGCCACCTTCCAGGGGGTCCCGATTGCAGCACATCAGCAGAGGGCTGTGGGGAAGCAGGTGTCCTGTAGCTAAGCAGAGCCAGGACTGGCAGCCCAGCACTTTTTACCAGCCCTCACACTCACTGACAAGCTCACCTATCATTTGCCACTCCCCTTCCTTCACAAGCACTATAAAGGTCTACCTAGTGTATCCACTTGCAGGTGTAACCTGGCTCCTGTCCAGGAGTATGCCCAGGATGTGGGACTGAAGACAGACCTGGTGACCATGAATCCTTCAGTCATCCAGCGTGCCTTCGAGGACCTGGTGAATGACACGTGGAGAGAGAAGCTGCTGCAGCGCCTGCAAAGCCTCAATGGCAGCATCCTCTGGATCCCAGCATTCATGGCCAAGGGGGGCAAGGAGCGCGTGGAGTGGGTCAACGAGCTCATTCTGAAACACCACATCGACGTCCGCACTGCCTACCCTTCGCTGCGCCTGCTGCATGCCGTCAGAGGGTGAGAGCTCCTGCCTTCAATGGGCCAAAGGGATTGCTTCCCCCCTGACCCCCCCCCCCCCCCGGACCACGGCCTTAGGG